CCCCAAAACCCCAAAACCCCAAAACCCCAAAACCCCAAAACCCCGTGACAAATTTAAGGGTTTGAATAATAATTATTATACTAAATTCTAAATGGAGTCTCATCCAGATCACTTACCACCTCCCCCTCCACCACCAGGTTCTGATTCTCAAAGCACTTCCTACCCTCCACCTCCAGGACCCCCTCCAGGCTACCCTGGCCCACCACCAAACGCTCCACCAGGCTATTTCCCAGGGATGCCCTTTTACCCACCTCCAGTTTCCGAAAAGCTGTGTGAGAAGGAGAAATTGCCTAGAAACAGCACAATTTATATCAAAAACATGAACTCTAAAATCAAAACAGAGTATCTCAAAATGAGCTTACAGAACGTATTCTCGCAGTTCGGTAAAATCCTGCAGATCTCCATCAAAAAGAACTTCCGTATGAGGGGGCAGGCTTTCATCATCTACGAGGACGAAGATATGGCCGAAAAAGCGCTTAAAGCAATGGACGGGGCGCTCTTTTACCAAAAACCCCTAATGATCAATTACGCTAGGAAGAAATCCGATGTCATTGCCAAGAAGACAGAAGAGATCTCTGAAGAAGAGAGGAAGAGGAGAGAGGACAATAATAGAAAGTTCAAGCAGTGGATTGAGTACGTCAGGAACTTAAGAGCCCAAGAGAAACTTAATAAGCTCAAGCACGAACAGAACGAGCTGATGAACCAGAGTCATAAGAGAGGAAGAGATAATAATACTTATGGAGATGATGATCAGCCAGGTTTCCCAGGTCAAGAAGGTGGAGGGTCTTTGAAAATCAGGAATTTACCAGGGTTCATTAACCAAATGTCTCTACATGGCATTTTCCAAAGCTATCCAGGATTTTCAGAGCTAAGACTTGCCCAAGGAAGTGATAATGCTACCATTCTATTCAACTCACAAGAAGAAGCAGCTGCTGCATTTATGGGTAAGTTATTAAGTTTGTCTAACTAGTTATAGGTCTCCAAGATTACAGATTCCAGGACGGACACAAGATGGATATCTCTTTAAATCACTAATCTGTCAATTTTTAGAATATATTATGGGGTTTTGGGGTTTTGGGGTTTTGGGGTTTTGGGGTTTTGGGGTTTTGGGGTTTTGGGG